AAATTACAGGTTTCATATCAAACATTTTGATAGCCAGCAGTTTTTGGTAAGGTGTCTTTTCTAATGGAAATCAGTAGACTGAAATAGATTGAAAGAGTTGGTATCTCCATTTTTATAATATTTACTGTTAATGTGATTTTTATATGTTTTTATATATCTGTGGGGGTTTTTTTAATCTGTGACTTTTACCTGTTTTTGTTGTGCACTTGTACACTACACAGAGTTCCCTTTGGGGAGATGGGAGGCCATATAAATTTGATTAATAATTATTAAATAAATGAACATTTTATATCATGTTTAACTTAATGTACTTCACTGTTCCTTATTCCCCTTTGTATTCTGGGGAACAGAGAAGGGTGAACTTCGCTTTTTATTATGGTTACAGAATCATTACCCTCTCAGCAATGAGTTGCAGTGTGAATTATAGCCCTACGAGTGGCATTGTGAAGAAACACCAGCCTGATTGATGCTAATAGGCTTTGAAGATTAGCTGAGCATCCTTATTTCCAATATTCTTAAGTTTCATTTTGGTATATAGGTGGTCCTCAACTTACGACTACAGTTGAGATCAGAATTTCCATTGTTAAGCAGGGTGGTTGTTAAATGAATTGCGCTCAATTTTATGACTTTTTTGCCACAGTTGTTAAGCAAATCATTGTAGTTGTTAAGTGAATCATGTGGTCTTTAAGCGAATCCGGATTTTTCTATTGACTTTGCTTGCCAGAAGCTGGCCGGGACAGTCATAAATGGCAGTCATGTGATCCCAGGATGCTGTTATCATTGTAAATACATGCCAGATGCCATGCAACCAAATTTTGATTATATGACTCTGGAGATGCTGCATTGGTTGTTAGTGTGATGACTGGTTGTAAGTGACATTTTTCAGGGCTATTGTAACCTGGAATGGTCACTAAGCAAATGGTTGTAAGTCAATGATGCCCTGTAGTTACATGGTTTGGCTTGTTTTCCCGTTGAATTGTTCAGATTAACCCAAGTTGTCTTGCTCTCTGTTTTTTTCCTTCACAGAGGGAAGACCCGTTCCTCCTTTATCATTGATCTAGTATAGGTTTATTAATTGCTGCATGCATCTTAATTAATGTACAGCTGTGTGTAGAATGTATTTGGCACATTAATGGACAAGCTGAATTTGGTGGTCGATTGTGTGGCTGATGAATAATCTTTTAGGCAGGCGATGTCTCCTAAAGCTTGGAAAGGTTGCCAGTCTGAAAGCTGCTTTTCCCCTATCTATCTTCTGTGAACTGAAAAACAACCCTCTAGTTGTCAGGCTTTGAAATCCAGCTGTTCCTTTTGACAGGCTTCTTTTTCAAAAAGTCTAGCATTGATATTGTTGTTTGGAAGCACTGCACCATCTAAACAAAGCCATATATTTCATTTGTTAAGTCAAGTGAAAAATGTGTCTGCCCTTCTCCAGTTCGCTGGCAGGAACTGAGCAAACATCAATTCTGCTTTGCTTTTCTTCCTGGAAATCGGTTCAGTAATTGTGAGGAAAAAAAATCTTTGATTGGCAAGCCTGCAAATATAAATCCTATATTAAAAGAATAATAGTGGTTTATTAACTGGCTGCAACAAAGGCCTAATTGCTTTAAGCCAATAGTATTTAACTCCAGTATTCTTGTTGTGATGGCAGCCCATTCTGGAGGCTTAGGAATAAGTTCATACAGTAGTAGGCAAGACCTGCTGTGTTTTCATCTTGGTAGCTCTAACCACAAAGTAGCAACTAAGCACAACTGACTTGCATTAGGCAGAAACCTCCAAAAGTGGGTGCTTTATAAACTGCTGTGTAGCATTACATCAAGATCTCTTGGGATAAGAGAGACAAAACCACAACAACATGTTTGCACTCCCAGTAAGAGGCTTATAATCCAGAAAAGAGCCATCCATCAAGGATAGAATCAGATAGACACATTTGTTTTTCTAATATCAGTTTGGCACCTTAATACAGATTCCTTGTGAAAGTTCACTCTCTGTTTTCTAAGCCTGTTCCTTATGCACCCATTGCAATTAATAAGAATTAGCGATGAGCTAAAAGCTTGAAGTACAGTTCATTTAATGACCATTTGAAGTTACAACGGCACTGAAAAAAAAGTGACTTATGACCATTTTTCACACTGATGGCCATGGCAGCATCCTTATAGTCACAAGATCAAAATTCAGATGCTTGGCTACTGACTAATCTTTATGACAGTTGCAGTATCCTGGGGTCATGCGGTTGCCTTTTGCAAACTCAAATGACGAAGCCAGATTCATTTAACAACCCCATTACTAACTCAACAACTGCAGTGGTTCACTTAATAACTGGCAAAATAAGTCATACAACGAGGCAAAACTCACTTAACTGTATCACTTAGCAACAGAAATTTTGGGCTCAATTGTGGACATAAGTTGAGGACTACCTGTAATTATTCAAGTGTGAGTGTAAATAAATGCAAAAGGAAAAATGAGGTAGTCCAACCATTTGTGCAGGGGGGGAGGGGGAGAAAATGGCAGACTTAATTACTATTGCCTATAAGGGCAGATGGCTTGAGAGAGCAGCCAGAAGACAAGCAGTCATCCAATGAAGTTAGAGAAGCCAGTGGGAACTCCGAGATATTTTTGAAAGGACAAAATGGAAATGTAGGCCTGGCCTCCCTTTAGTGACTTCTGGAATTTCGTCCTTGAGGAAGCCCAGAAGTCACGACTGCATCCCCATCCAAAAAATTAGCCAAATGTTTCTACTGTAACAGGTAGTTAGAGAGCAGGACAGATTTAATTTTAAAATGACTGGTTTTATTGCTCTGCTTTTTTGTGTTGCCCTGTAGATTTATTAGACTGCTATTTTAAATTAATTGTTAAGCATTTATTGATATTTTGTGACCATTTAAGATTGGATTTTAATTGTTTTGTAATTTAATATTGTAGGATGCCCTAAGGGGCCCGTTCAGGCGGTGTAGCAGGATATAAGAATAATAAACGTGCTCTTGTGCAACCTTTACTAAACTTTGGTCCAGAAAACGTGTGTTTAAATGTCTACCAATGTTATCTTCATAAACTTGTTTTATAAATGTAATTGCCAACAAAATATTTGACCTCCAACGTGAAGGAGTCAAAGCTAGTGAAAACTGAGAAAATTGCTAGAAGTTCACCAGCAAAGATCTTTTATATCAGTTACTAGCGGTGGATGTCCAAGGTTAAATCTGGTATTGTATGTAGGTGAAGCATGTATTTTATCATTGGATCATGGTCCCATCTGGCACGATTCCACTGAATACATTTTGGAATTTTGCCACCTTTGCATCTTTTTTTTTTTTACCTTAGTCCTTCATAATCTCAAATTCCTGTTCTGTAAATGATTAACTATGTACTAAGATTATACTGAAAATGTGGAAATTACATTGAAATGGAACTGTAGCCTTATAGAAAGGATAATAATGACATGACGTACTCTTGCAAAATCTGTAATGTTTTATTGACCCAAATATAAATATGCATAGTCTGTATAATGACTTCAGAATCGCAGCCAAGAGGAACCACCAGAATGTAAAATAGGATTATTGTGTTTAATTCAGATAGTCCGCCTAATGGTCTTAATTAATTTAAATAATAAGACTGTAGGAGAAGGAGTGGCAGAACCTGGGGGTGGAGTCAAAAGAAGAATCACCCTAGAATCTCTGTGGAATCACAAATGGATTAAAGTCCAATCCCTTTTGATATCTGTTGACCCTTATTTAACCCCAAGATAGTGCTGACTGTTAGTGGAATAGATTCTTGTGCATAGGCATGATTAGTAATAAATCAGTCTAATTGGAACTTCACATGTGATGATCTTTTGTGTTTGATATTAATCTACTCTACTAATGATCAGCACTACAGGTAGTCCTTGAGTTACGAGTGTAATGGAGCCTGCCCATTCCACTCATAACTCGAAAACTCATGGGAGTAAATCTCGTACCTCGAACGAGATCACTTCCTTGCTCGTTAAGACCCACGCAGCTTGTTAAGTGAACATGAGGTATCTCAGGGTGGGGAAGGCCATGGAGGGCCTAGTGATAGAACAGGCCCCAAGGTCTCTCCTACCCACTAAGATACCTCATGCGTCTCCCTCCCTTCCTGCTGCACTGGACTCCCCTTGAAAAGATCTGTCTCCTCTCTGCCGTGGTTCCTGCTGCCACCCAGATGTGAGGCTGGGGGAATGCTTCCGCAGCCCTCCAACAGCCCAATCCGGGCACCAGAGACCTTCTCCAGGCCGCTGCCACCCTGATCTAAGGCCGGGGTACACGAAAGATCAGGACCACATGTGAAGTTCCAGTTAGACAGATTTATTACTAATCATGCCTATGCACAAGAATCTATTCCACTAATGATCAGCACTATCTTGGGGTTAAATAAGGGTCAACAGAATTGAAAAGGGATTGGACTTTAGTCCATTTGTGATTCCACAGAGACTCTAGGCCAGGGGTGTCAAACTGCCGGCCCCTGGGCCGGTTGCATCATGCGGAGACCACACCAACCCCAGCATGTCATGTGACGCAGTGAGTTTGACACCCGTGCTCTAGTCTGATTCTTCTTTTGACTCATTTTTTTGATTCACATTTTTATTTTCATTTGCTATCTTGGAGTCATTGTTGACTCCTTGTGACTACCTGGACTAGTCCCTGCAGTTTTCTTAGCAAGGTTTTTTGAAAGTGGTTTGCCATTGTCTTCTTCCTAGGGCTGAGATAATATGACTGGCCCAAGGTCACCCATCTGGCTTTGTGTTCACGGCAAGACTAGAACTTAAAAGTCTTCTGGTTTCTAGCCTGATGCCTTAACTACTACACCAAACTGGCTCTCTGATTGGACATATTACTGTATGTTTAAAACTGTTAACTTATTTTATTGTTTTATCTGGCATATTTTACATAATGTAATTCACCATAAGATACTTTGAAGAATGTGAAAGAAACCAGTGTTTTAAATTAATAAGATAAGCAGTGATTCATTCTGTTTTTAAATTTGAACAGAGCAAGCTGAGAAGAGAACAAAAGGAAGGAGAAGTGATCCAAAAAGAAAAGGAAGAGATGATAGAAAAAGCAGTCCTGAGAAGAAAGAAAAGAGAAAATCAGGGAATGAGTTAGTACTGGGACAGCTGGGTAAGTTGAGCTTCAAAATATACGTTTGAAACCTATCAAGCCCGCAGAGTCACATAGATGAGGTTGTAAATACTCAAAATATTTTCTCAGAAATTAATGTTTTAAGTATATTTTTGACTCACATTCATTGGAGCTGTACGGGATAATTTTTGAAAAACGGGAGTTGTGTTTTTTTGTATTCATACTTGTTTGTGTCAGATATATAGGGTATAATATTTTGCAAACTGCAGATGGCATTCCTCTGGGCAGAGTGCTCAAGTATATAATGGCTGTTCCACTGTATAGATATTCTTGGATGCAGCTGTTTAATTGGGTCATTTAGTTATGACACAAAAACCATCACAGTTGGGGATAGACTTTGTGGTATGCAGGCATCAGTGTGCTAGGGGATGTGTCTCTTGTACTTGCCAGGCTCTTCATTTTTATTTGCTTACTTTTTATATAGCATTATCTTTTCTTCTAAAATGTCTCTGGATTCCACATAGCCCATCTAGTAGCCTTAGAAAATAAAAGCAATGGGCCTCTGCAGGCTGTGCTGTTTTTGGAACACAGTCCATGTATCCAGAGAAAAGAATATGGGGCATAGGAACAACAGGCATGATTTTGTGGGGCTGGTGGACAGGACAAACCACTGTAAATATGTGTTTCAGATTGGCCATGTTCACTGTTATGGACCCTTTATGACAGACATGTTAAACACAAGGCCCGGGGGCCGGATGTGGCCCGCGAAGTGGTTTCATGTGGCCCGCGAAGCCATCCTGGAAACAGTGAGGGAACGGCCCCTGCTGCCTTGGCCCTGGCCCAGGCCAGCTGGGAGCCAATGTACAATTTTGTGGTGGCCATTTTGGCACTTGCCCCGGTGGACCATGCCTTGGCACTTGCCCCGGTCCCACCCCCTTCTATGAGAGACCCTCAGATCTGTCCCACTGCTGCCCAGACCCCCATAAGCACCCTTGACGCGAATGATGTAGAGCTGGCCACGCCCACCCAGTAGGCCACACCCACTCTATCCATGCCCACCCAGTAGGCCACACCCACTCTGGCCACACCCACCCGCCTCCCCCAGGGCAACCGCAATGCTGATGCGGCCCTCAGTGAAATTGAGTTTGACACTCCTGCTTTATGAATATCCAAGTTCCCTCTCTCCAGCAGCATCCATTTGGTAAAAATGTGCACAGGGTGCTCCTCTGTCCTGATGGGTGACTGAATGGCTGATGCTAGAGAAGAACCAGGAATTGAAGATTTATTTTGATTTTATTTCTTCTGCAATTCTCCATGCACTCACTCACACGTAATGTTGTTCTGAACAGATTCTTCAATTTAGCGATTAGAATCATCATGTAGAGTTACTTGATTCCAGATTTCCCTGAGCAACCACTGTTACAGTAGAATCNATATATATATATATGCTGAGATGCTATAGAATTTTATCCTTTTTCCATTATTTTCTTTAATGGGGTCATCCATACTTTAGGTATTACATTTAGAAGGGCTAAATCAGCAGCATCAATCGGTGATTGAGAAAAGTCTGCACAAGCACCAATAGGCTAATCAGTGGTGGAGATATTGTTAAGATTGTGGTTCATCTGTGTGGGGCAATAGTCCAATTCTGGATGCAGTTTCACATGACTTTAAACAGAACTGTGTTGCTCCTTAAAATGGGATTGGATTGTTGTGAGAGGGTGACAGATGATGGTAGCAGGGACCAGAACATTGCTTCCCTTGCAAAGCCCCATCTACTGGCCAAATCCATATTAAGGAGTACTTCTTCAAATCACTGGGAGCTTACGACCCCCTTGAAACAGTTTTACCCATTGGGAAGGGCAGAAAGTAAGGCCTAGCTCCAGGGAGATACTGATTCAAAATGCAGGGCCTATCTTAAGGAGAAATTCCACTCTTTCTGGATTTCACTCCCTCTTCAGCTTACTCACTGATGAAAGCAGTGGGAATATGTAGCTCCAGAAAGCTACATTTCAGGCTCTTGGAGAAGTTACGAAAGAGTGAAAATATTCCGGAGGAGGAGGAGGAGGAGGAGGAGGGTAAAGCAAGCAACGGGATGTAAACTCCCTGTGTACAATGAATGAGAGACTTAGCGGGTGGAGAGTGTCTTATGACCTCAGTCCAAATCTTGACTTGCTGTATATACACCAGTGTTTGAAAAGACTATTACTCAGAAGGAAAGATTGGCTTTACTTTGAGACTTGTAAGCTAGAGGGGACTTTTCTGGTATCCATCTGTTCTGATGTCCACTGATGGAGAACCTCATCATGCTGGTTCTGATTCTGTAGATAGTTTAGAAAAACAGCATGTTCCTAGTGATCCACGCTCTGTAGCCTCCAGATTAGTCCATGAAAATCACAGAACTCCAGCAGCAGTTTGGAAACTGCAAATTAAAACAATCTGCCAGGCCGTCAATAGAGTCCAGGTACTGCGAGAGCATTTCACAACTATTACAGTGACTCCTCATGTATTTTTAGTTCAGTCTACTAGTGGTTATCTTTAAAACGTTCCACAGTTTGAGACTTGTTCCTCAAAGCATTATAAGAGCCACTAAGATCTTCTTTAGAAACTATCTACTGTCTGAAGTAAAGCAGGTGGCACATGTGGAAAGTGCTTTTTTTCTGGCAGGGTGTCCAATTTATGGGATATTTTCTACCAGAAGAATTGCCTGTTCCCTATCCCTGCCCTATAAGTGAAATAGCTTGTTTATTTGAAATATTATTTCATTCGCATGTATAATTTGATTCATCCAAAACTGCTATTCAGGGGTTTCCATCTCTCAAGAGCAGGGAGCCTGCTTAGCAGCACTTTTCCAAACTATTGGAGTATTGTTGTGATTTAAAAACTAGCAAATATATTGTGACATAAACTTTTGTGGATTCCAGCCCTTTAATGCTCATGCATCATGCAGGCAATTTCTATCCCATATATTCATAACTAAAAAAAATATCAGAAAGGGTGCATTGGATATTATTAAGGTAAGAATGTCCTTGACTTACAACCACAATTGAGCCCAAAATTTCTGTTGCTAAATGGGACATTTGTTAAGTGATTTTTGCCCCAGTTTACAACTTTTCTTGACACAGTTGTTAACTGAATCACTGCAGTTGTTAAGTTAGTGATATGGTTGTTAGATGAATCTGACTTCCCCACTGACTTTGCTTGTCAGAAGTTTGAAAAAGTTGATCATATGACCCTGGGACACTGCAGCCGTCATAAATATGAGTCAGTTGTCAAGCGTCTGAATTTTGATCATGTGTCCATGGAGATGCTACAACGTTTGTAAGTGTGAAAATGATCATAACTCACTTTTTTCAGTGCCATTGTAACTTCAAATGGTCACTGAACAAACTGTTGTAAATCAAGGATTACCTGTATTTAACAGTGAGGCAAAAGGAAAATTACATTCAGAAAATACAGTGACCATGTGACGGTGGCTCTTCACAAAGTAGTTGCCATATGTGATTCAGATATTCTTGCATTATTGAACTGATTTCTTGTAATCTAATTATTAGACAGTACTTGAATTTATATTGAGTTGTAAAAAAATAATAATGACTGATCTTAATGCATTCTATGTTTCTACTCATTCTTGCAATAGGCTTGTCAACTTCCTTTCCCATTGCTGGGACCTTCTTCAATAGCTGGTTGGCTCAATCTGTACAGATCACCACAGAGAACATGGCAATGAGTGAGTGGTCCTTGAACAACGGCCATCGTGAAAATACAACTCCAGGCCTTTCTGAGGAACTTTTACAAGATGAAGAGACCTTACTAAGTTTTATGATGGATCATTCCTTGAAGTCCCCATTGAAACAGAGTGACACAACCAAGAAAACTAAAAGTAAAAATCGAACACACACTAAGAAAAAAACAGCAAGAAATGGCTTAAATGCCCTCTTTAAAAGACATCAAGAAGGGGATTCAAATAAATGGACTAACAGCAGTTATTTGGCAAATAACACCACGAAATCTTTATCCCATGATTTAAGAAACGGCAAGGCAGAGAAAAGTATGGACAAGCTACAGTCAGAACGTAAAGGGGTATGTGAAGTGAAAAAGTCGTCTAAGAAGGGCTCTTCTCATCCAGCACTTCCTCTTCCAAAAGCAAATGATTCTCAAGCATCCCCGAGTCTCATAAATAACCTAAACAATGATGAGGATGTCATGAAATACACCCCAACTGATCCTAACTCTCTGGTTCAAGTGCCTGATTCAGTAGGTAGTCTGAAAACAGTGGTGAGGTTCAAATTACCGAAAGAAGGCAAAGGGACTCAAAGACCACAGAACAAGATGCCCGAATTGCTTCATGGACCTCCAGAAAATGAAAGATCAAAGGTTATTTTGCATCCTTTTGACAATGAGACTGATGGCTACTTTTCAGATGCAGAAATGAGTGACTCTGACACAGAATCTGGAAGTGGCAGAGGGCACCACAGCCAGTTAGATTCAGGAAATGAGGATAATTTCAGAATGAGTATTTTAGCATCTTAATGCACCTTTGAGACCAGTCATGACAGCTTTGTGAGGCTTAAATCCAGTTAACAACTGCCATGTCCAATTTCAACTGGTATCATAACAAAGGATTTTGGTTTGTTACTTTGTTTTTAATTTGTATATATAATTCAGAAATGAGCACTGTTGTTTCCTCTCTCTATACGCTTGAGAAACAGCTCCAGGCTTCACCAATTTAGACTCCTATACAGTCACAGTAGTTAGGCTTTGTCACATGTATATCTTGGTTACATAGAATGCAAGCATACACATTATTAAGGACATCAGTTTTCTGGGAGCAAGCAGGACATCTCAGGATTTTAATGAGGAGATCTGAGATTGCCAGCGCCTGTTGTTCATGCAGGGACGACAGTTTTATGGGCATTACTTAAGCAAATTGATTTCATGATCTGCCAGATGTTACAGTCTCTTTCGGGGCAGGTTTCAGAAGGAGATTACTACTATGGAAGCCAACATAGAACATGGAATAGTAAAAATAGATGTTCATAGGTATGTGTGTCTGTGCACCTGCACATGCATGTACACATGTGCAGGGTTTGCCGGTGTGTATGTCTGCGTGTGCAAGTATGAAGTAAAATAAGCGATTCTTTTTTTTAAAGAAGCACAACAAGCTTATTTGAAGAAAGCACTTAATGGGTAGAGGAATACAACATTGTATTTATGGTCTACTAATCTTTTTTTTTTCCTTCTTCTTCCTCACCTCTTCAGTTCAATCAGGGTCCATCCAGGAGGCAAGAACCAAGATTTAACTCTTATCACTCCAACTATCAGCTGAGCGGCTCTATAAAGAACCATCCAAAGCTCTCAGTCGATAGAATTTACAGATCCATGCTAAAGCTGCTCTGCTTCCTGTCAGTATCTTTCCAGAGTAATTTGGGGTGTTATTTATACTACTCATTGGTAAAACCTAAACCTTTGATTATTAGAGCCATTCCCCATAATTTCCTCAGGTTAAAGTAGCCTAGTATGGGCCAAACAAAGATCAGAAGAAGAAATGTTTCCATTACTCAGAGGGGGAATTATTCAAATAGCTTCAAAGAACTCCAGTCTGTGCTTTCATGATAACTCAAAATAAATCTCTGCTCATCTCTTTAGAAGCTGCTTCTGTACAGTAGCAGTCACTTGGTTGAAGAGGCAGCATCATTGAAACATTTCCTTTCCCATCTTACTTGTTTTTATGAACACTAATTACATTGATGGCTTTTCCCCTTTATTTCCTTTTCTTTCAAAGTAAAAACTTGTTAGTGAGCCATCAACACATCCTAAGAGAGTGATTCACAGAAGTCAGCATTCTAAATATTTTAGTAATACTGTACATCAGATGTTTCTAATAAGCCTTAAATGTTGTTTAGAAGCTGGTGTGACTTACGAGTCATGCAGATCTCTCCAAGTTTGCACTTCGTTACACTATTGATTCAATTTTGGCTTCAAAGGTTACAGTCAAGGTTTTGAGATTTGCTACAGGCTTGATGGGAGTGGCCCCAGTGTAAGCTCAGGGAAGTAAAATAAAAAGACAACTGAAGTTCACTAAACATTTTTGCTGATGGTAGGTAACTTTGAATACAAATTGTGTGTGTGTGTGTGTATGTGTGTGTATGTGATATACACACACTTATACATACCCTTACATAACGCACAATCGGACACTTTCAAACTGGGGGAGAAAAGCATCTTGTAATTCTGATGAATCTGTGAAATTATTTTATGGATGCCAAAGAATATAGTAAAATAGCACAGCCAGAAACCAGAAACTTAACTATGAGCAAAAGCTGTTGAGTAACTAAAGGACTAAATCCGTATTCATGACCCACTTTGCAAGCTTGCTGAAGATGATGCTTTTGTCATTTGAACCACTTCCACCATTGTGATTTCTAATGTTACTTGTTCACTGCAGTAAGAGCAATATTGGTTGTTTTTTTTGTTCTCCGATGCCATATACTGGCGATCCTTTTTTGTTTTGTTTTTTTGAAAGTCACATTATTTTTACCAGCCTTCTGAAGTCCTTAATACTACTCCAGTTGAGCTATAATTTAGAGAAATCTCTATTCTGGAAAGAAACCAAAATCAGTTGCCAAATACACGTCAGTGTTTTACTGATATAAGTTCTGTTTGCAAAATTATTTTTCAAATCATTGACCGAAATGGAACAGTTCAATGTTAGTAGCCTAACATGTGGATTGGCAAGTAAATTTTATTCCATCTTCAAGGCTTGGTATGTTCAGATAATGTTAAATACAGTAAATAGGACTTAGTTTTATCTTATCAAGCTTGCTAGACTTTAGCTACAATATCCTAGTTATGTCATACAAATAATCAATATGCTGCCTTTAATGGATCTTGCTTCCGTGCGCTTTAGTTCAAAAAATCCAGAAATCTTGCTGTATGCAGCTTCATTTGCCAGCTACTGCATTACTTGCTTGCTCACTTAATACAGGACAGCAAAAGGGGTAAACTTTAAAGAACAACCAAACTAAAAATTGATGTATAGAAGGATAGGACACTCCATTTTTTACTGTGAATGCTGTTGTGAAACTTTTTTTAAAAAAAAAATGCAAAAATAATTACTACTTTGCCATGGTCCAGAGTCTCCAGTGCAATCTTAACAGTGATATATATACCGGTAGATAAATGTATCACAAAAATCTCATTGAAAGTTGCTGACTCAAAGTCTTCCTTAAAACTGGAGGGAACGAGATAGCCTGTATTCATGTGGGACTTCATAGAGTCGAATGGAGTTTTCTATATGATACACTCAGATTACTTTAGCTATCATGTTTTTTGCCGAGAGCAAATGTTTACAAAGCACTGGGCTTTGTTGTATGGAGAATAAGAACTGTATGTGAGAAAAAGAATATCAAAGATTTCACAAACTGGAACCCATTTTTTTCCTAATAACTTTAATTGACCTTCCCCTCACAGGTTTGACTCCAGAGGGGCTTCTGCCAGCAAATAAAGAGTTTTCAATAATTCCTCCTGCAGCTTTCCACCTCTTATGTTGTACATTACTGTGTGTTTCAGGCAGGTAGCATGAATTGGTAAAAACCCACATACAAACTTCAATTGTTTGTTAAAAATTTATGGGGAAGTATGTAAGCTCTTTCTCTGAATGACAGAACTCGATAATGCTGGGTTCATGGAGGGTATGTGTTTTTGCAAATGAGTATGGATTTGGAATTTTTTTAAAAATGTATGTTCAGACTGCAAGTAATATTCACAAGCGTTCACAATGTCTCTATAGCAATGTTTCTAAACTTTGGCAGCTTTTAAGAGGTATGGACTGCAACTCGCAGAATTCTGGGAGTTGTAGTTCATGCCTCTTTAAAGTTGCCAAGATAGTTACAGTGAAGTCCAGTAAGTGCCTTGGACTTGATTTCAGTCTGTGGGATTAAAGAAGAAGCCCTGCCAGCTGTTGTGATGTAATATGGAGGACACAATTTCCGTTAGTTCAGTGGCTGCACTCAGGGAAACGTGCTGAAGGTTGCAGTCCAAAAGTGGGCAGGGCCTCATATGGCAAGAGAGGGAGGCTGAGAGTTTAAAGTGTTGAAGTGAGTGCCTTCAGCAGATGCAAGTTATAAGGCACAGAGTTTGCTCCCAAATCCAAGCTACCCACTCTGAAGGCCATCAAAGGGATGCCAGCGGGCCCATTTTTTGTTTTTATTTTGTTTGTGCCCCCAATAATAGTGTTGCCGTGTGGTGGAATAAACACAGTGAAATGCTCCAGATGGTTAAATCAAAGTCTTCTCTAGTATTTGAGGCTTGATATATCTAGCTAGCTGTCGAAGGGAGTTGCTCATCACACAACCCAGTGTTTTGTCACGGTTAAGATCCAGCTCTGAATTACTTAAAATCTGTTCTTTTGTGTTGTTTCCAGTAGTGTCTCTGTTAGCTGCTGCTCAGTTGACAGCTATGTGCATATTCGTCAAAACCCTTTTAAGGAGAATGCCAATCTTCCTTTGCTACTTAGCACCTGCCTCTTTTCTTGTAGAAGCTAGAGAGATTTGCATAAAGGAAAAAGGAATTGTATGTGAAAAATATTTTTGATGCATTATAAATGTATTTTGAAATGAACAGAGGGGGAAAAAGCATAAATGGTCTATTTTATTACATAAAGGTCTTTAATCCAATAATGTGTGAACTTCAGGCATTGACATTTGCACTGTAAAGGGTGAATCCTGTTAGCATCATGATTATGTATTAACATGGCTATAGTAAAGCTCATTTTTGTGTTCATTAATAAGGATCCAACATTGTTTTTGCAATCTTAGATTTAAATGGAATGTCTTAGAGTCCAGTTTTGGGAAATGCTCAAATACACTCAAATTTCCCCTTCAATTTTTGGAAACAGAAGTTTTGTGGTGTATTTTGAATCTTTTGTTGATAGTTATTTTGTCTGCATTTTTAAGAAACAAAGGTTTGGCAGTGCTTTTCCTCAAAGCACAGTGAAGAATTAGCCTTTTCTCTCTCCAAGGTGGGGGGGAAAGGGTACAATTCATTCCTGCCTGTTCTTGCAACCTGGCACAAGGCTCCATTTCCTATTACTAGATGGGTGTGGCAATTTGGTTGTTCTTTAAGGGATCTCTTGCACACTTTGGTCCATTCCACACTGACACAATACAGGCCCACTCTGTATCAGTTACAGGAAACAATATGAATGTCACAGGAGGCAAAGGCCCCCTGTTTTCTTTGTTTCAAAGAAAGTGATGTGCCATTTGTTAATATAAAAGAGAAATATTGAAAATATATTGAAAAGAGCAATTTTAAATTATTTTTGGCTTATGTTGCAATATTTATTTTCTTGTATTAGAAATTCCTTTGTAGAGACAAAAAATGTATTTTTCATTAATGCAAAACCTATTTCTCCTTTTTGTACATTTTCCATGTTAGTTAATCCTTAAAGCAATATAATGTATCATGGTTGTTCTGTGTGAAAGCTGTATTATGCATGCTGTTTGTGTTGCCTTGGAATAGGTCTGTCTGCCATAATTTTCATCATGTTTCGATTTAGTGTATGCTTTAATACACATTGGGACCATGGCCC